ATAAAGGTTAAACTTAAGGTACAACTCATTTTTTCACAACTTGCAAACCTCCAAGTTGCCCCAGAATAACAATCTGCAGTCACTAACACACAGACGCGGCAAGCTCCAGCTTACAGGAACGCCTTGGAACACGCTCGCGAATGTTTAGGATGAATTCCGAGGTTACCTGGGATTTAAACTCAGGTCTGTCAGGTTTGATGCTGAAAAGAATTCCACAAAAATCTGACAATTAAACTATTCTCTGCAAGAAAACGTAAATAACTTCAGCTTGGAAAACTTTACATGGAAGTTAGGCCTGAGCACGCAACTCAAGGAAGGCTGCAAATCTTACTACCAGCTGTAAGGATGGCTGCTTTTGGGCTCTTCAATGATTTTAAAAAATCAAAAAAAAACCCCCAAAGATCTTGAATTAAAATCATAAGTTAAAGAAAATATATTCAATCTTATATCAATTTAACAATGTATTTACTAGCTTAAAGAAATGGAGGGCAAAGAAAAGCTCATTTTGCTCAATTTCAGCCACAGTGTATCGGATGATAACATGCCCAGAATAGAAATTAACATGTTCTATCTTCACAATGAATAGTCTGTCAAACTGGAGCATGGTAACACGTTCTAAATATCACAACAAAAATAAATAAATAAAAGTTACCCAAAAACAATCAAACAAAAAAAAGGATTCACTGGCTCAAGGTGACATAAAGTCAGAGGAAGAAAATTAAATTATTGAGTCTTTTAAACGTTATTTTACTAGCCCTCCACAGAGTCTTACTTCACTGTAACTCTTTTATTATGCAGAAATGAGTTCTACCTTGCACCCTCTGCATGGCATCTATTATTTTGATGCCTGTTCCTCCGATATGGGAGTACATATCCCGAAGGCAGCAACATTCTTATTCTCCTCCTTAAAACTACATGGCTTGAAAGGACCTGTGAAGAAGACCCCAAGTAAAATAGTATTTCTCGGTAATTTTTCCCCCCCCAAGGCATTATTTTGTATTGGCCACAAGGCATAGCTGATATATTTGAGAATTTGGGAAAGTAAAGTCTAGTTGTAACTGGTCAATGCTGTGAACAACTCTACCGCCTTCAGTTTCGCTGTGTACTGGATTCTAATTTATGATTCTTTCTTCGTAAAGAATATATTTTAAGTAATTTCTCCATTAAAAAAAAAAAAAGAAAGAAAAAAAAGCTGCTGTCGATCTGCATTTTGGTTAGAGCAACTCAGCAACGGCGTGCATTAAAATAAAATCTACTGCAACATAAATAGAGGTGTTGCTTTATTATATACGTATATATATGTGATATATTATCACCCAAGAAGGGCCATCTAAAACGCCACAGTTGCAAACATTTAAGACTGTAACAAAAATGACTGAGACTCTAGTATCAGTTTACTATCCTTCAACAATTTCCCTGACAGTGGAGTCAAATAATGTTGAATTATGGACCTTCTTGCAGGAAGTCTTATTTCATGTTCATTTTTTGATCATTTCCCTCCTAGTCCCTATAGGAATTTGGCTCTTCGCCGATTTGCCTTTAAAAGTTTCTGCATCTGTAATTTTGCTTATTAAATTATTAAATTGTAAATTGTAATTTTTGTCAAATAATGCTTCCATGGATGTACTCAACAAGTTTATTTTCCATAAGAAAAACACTGTTTTTTCCCCCTATAAAATCTATCTTATGCTACTACTGTACTTTATTTGGATTTGGTGGGTATTTTGTACCATGTTTTCCTAAAAGGACTTTCTAAAGGCTTTTGGTAGACATGGTCTTGTAGGGGAATTTTACAGTTCAGACTAGAGCACCTGGGTGCCAGGGCGATGTGGTTTCAAGAAAACAGACCCACAGTGACAGTTTAGGATTACCTAAGAAACTGAACTTTTGCTGTCAGACTACAGTCAGTCTCCGGGCCTTTTTTTTTTTTTTTTTAATCAGAGGGAGTTTTCCCAGACACATCACACAACAGCTGTGTTCTAAGTCCATCTGAGCTCCAACAAACATTTGAAAATTTAAACATGCAAATGTTTGAAAAGCTAACGATTAAAAAAGGTTTATTTTGAAACTTTTGAGGATGGCTGCAATTCTTCAGCTACAGTTTTTAAAAGTCCCGGGGTCTGGTTGATCTCGAGTTCAATTATCCCCAGCAAAAAAAAAGCCCAAACTCCTGCCTTGTACTTGTGGAGCCGTGATGGTAAACACCAACTCCACAGGTCCCACCCTGGCAGGCAGCGGGGTCGAGCCCGTGGGAGAAGGATGCTATTTTAGTGACCTAGTGCCACTGAGCTGGTTAAATCACTGAACAATGGTTAGTGTTATAGGGCTTTACTTTGCAAAATCTAGCATTAGTGTCATTGCTTTCCATTAACCGGGGGGACTTAAAGGCAATGGCATTGAGGGGCCTATAAGGAAAGAATAAATAAGGGGGAAACCAATAAATTAAAAGCAAAAAAACACCCTGTTAACTGTAACCTTTACTACCACAATATATGAAAATGTAATTAAATCCATAATAAAAGCTTTTTTACATACTTACTCTTTTACTACTCTCCCAAGCAGAGCCGTGGGCAGGCGGGGGGCCCCTCGTTCCCACCGCCCCGGCCCTGCGCGCCCGCGCATCCCAGGGCCGCGCAGCCATAAACGCGCCCTGCGCAGCCACATCCTAATTAGCCGCCCCGGCGACCAGCACTCAACACCTTATTATTGAACCATTAGGGCCCAGATACTGCCGGCCGCGCCGGGGCCGGGCTTGGCACCGGAGTTTACCGGAGGGCGCGGGCGGCTGCGCATCCCTCCCCACCCCGGTAAACCTCCACCCCCCACCCCGCGAAACCCCCGTGGGTTTGATCCGCCGCCTCATCGGCCGGGAGAGGGGGTGGGGGGTTGGGAAAGCGCATTTTTGCATCTTTTCCTTTCGGCGGGGAAAGCAAAGCCCCGCTCCCCACCCCGTCCGCAGCCGCGGAGCTGCGCGTCCCGCGCTGCCCGGCGAGGAGCCGCAGCACCCCGGGGAGCGGCGGGGGCTGCGCTCGCACAAGCCGGGGGTGCCGGGGCTGAGCCCGCACAGCGGGAGAGGGGACGGCCCCGGGAGTGCAAAGGTCCGCGGACCAAAAGGTGGTGGCAGAGGGGGGAGAGGCGAGGGGGTGTGTGGAGAAACACACTGACACCCCCCGACAACCCCAAAACTATAGCTTCATTTCTTTAGCTCTCACTTTAATAAAATAATGATTCGTTGGGAAAATGGGGTATAAATCTTCATTTTGGAGGCAATTAAAGTGTTGATTTCATTCGTGCCCCTGAGCGATTCTTGTAATTTGCTCAAATAGCTTTATGTACCCAGCACTCCAGAGCTTTTAGAAACCCATTTTCTAGTTAGACTTGTTGGATTACAATTTTTATTCAACAGCAGCGAGCCGAGCTTCCCTCAGCTAGACCCTGGCTGGAGGGTTCCCCTTGCACTAAGGCACTGCACGGGGCTGCCGGCCGCCCGGAGCATCCTCCCCGGCCCCGGGTACCGCCCTGCTGTGCCGCCCTCCTCCCGCCCCACCAAGCTTTCCCCCTTCGCTGCAAAACGGGGTGGAAAGGGAAAAACAAAACACCAAAACAACCCACCTAGGCGCACATAAACCCCTTTTCAAAAGTTCATGCCTTCCTCCAAGGCTGCCTCCCCCTGTCACGACACTACCCGATAGCCTTTGGCAGACGGAAGAAAACATTTCAGATGCTGCCCACGCTGCGATGCAACGCACCTTCATGTCGGGGATCTATAAAATAACTCCCAGCTGACAGTGCCGGTGATAACGGCAAAGCGGCTGAGGCAACTCCTGTCTGCTTGGCTGCGCCTTGCTTGAACAAAAGGAAACCTCTAGAGTCAGAAGCAGATCACTCCTAAGACTCTGTTTGCTTAGCTGATCATAAAGAAGAAATAACTTGGGGGTTTTTAACCAGGGATTTATTTTTCTGTGTGTGCTCGAGGTCCCCTCTCTCCCGGGCAAAGCACTGCTACCCCTCAGTTCAGAGAAAACAAACCAACCGCGAAAACCCCACCGTTTCACCCAACTCTAATAAAAGCCAAATCTCAGTCACTTCCATAATCCAGGAGCTTAATTTAGATCTGGGCACCTCCTGCATTAGCCCCAAACGCTCCCATGAAAAGACAAGGATCCCAGCCGGCGGAAGGGACAGACGAGGAGGAGGGAGGGGAGAGGGGACAGCCAGCTCTCCTCACTCAGCTCACCCGCATTTCCCACCCGGCTGCAGCCGGCATTAAAGGTCTGAACCATCCCAAACAAAACCTGGACACCGTCACAGCCACGCGAGGCTTTGCTGGCTTGGCTTTGGCTTTGACTATATTTATTTTTTAAAGAGAGGGCTTGAAAACTTGAAAGATCAAGGGAAAAGAATTTAAAACCTGAATCCCATTTTATTTTCTCCCCTTTTTTTTCCCCCCTATTAAGTAAAATAAAATGGGCGCGTTTGCAGCAGGCAGGCGTGCACAAAGCAATGTTCACTCAAGTCTAAAAGCGTTCGGCCAAGGAAAACTGACAAGACGGACTAATGAACCGTAGAGACGGGAAGAAAATAGCCAGTATTTGCTAGATTTCAAACCCTCTCTGTCTTCCCCGGACCACCTATCTCGGATTTTATTATTATTTTGGTCAACGACTCCAGCCCTTCCTTCCCTAAGCTACCAAGAAGCCAGCGAACCACAGACACCACTTCTATTATTGGAAAGGGTAAATAAAATAAAGACAAAAATTAAAAGCGACAAGAAACAGGTCGAGTTTGCAGGCGACGCTTTTACAAGCTCATCTCGCCAGGTCGAATCCGGGAGCAAGCCTTAATGAAGCAATAATAGCCACATTATTCAAAAATTTTCATTTCGATGGAAATTTATCTAAAAGGGACTTAATCATATGCAAATAATAAAAGGAGGCGTAGTGACCCAGCGAGCGATCTGCATACAAATTTTAGCGTGTGCGGCGTTGGCGAGATCATACCTGATCCGTTAGGTTTGCTGATCTTGTTATGTCTTCACTGTCCGATTTTGATCCGCCCTCTCTATCGTCTATGACCAAATCGATAGGCATTTTTCCTTTCAAACAGCTAATATACCGGTGGCAGAAATTGTCACATAATTCGTGTACCTACATTATGACAGAGGTTAAAAAAAAAAAAAAAAAAAAAAAAAAAAAAAAAAAAAAAAAAAAAAAAAAAGGAAAAAGAAAACAGAAGAGGCGGGGGGGGGGGAAAGCAAGAAAATATAATCAGGAATACATAAGTAAAATTGACAAGTGCAACCAGTCTCCCCCCTTCACCCCTGTGACATCAAAAGTCCTAAATAGGGGAAACACACAGCAATTATCCCCCTGAGACCTCTAGACGCATCCAGAATTAGGAATAACTTTCTTTTCTCGCAAAATAGAGATATCCCAGAAAATTGACAGTGACAAGATGATTCACAGGCTACAACATATTCAACACCCGTGTTAAATTCATCTGCTCCCGGAGCTGTGGCCATTAGAGAGGTGACCTGCATGGGTGACATTTAAGGTAAACTATTTAATTTCATCCAGTTATTTCATCATAAACCCTTTCCAAAGGGGTATGAGGACAGAAAAAAGGATTTAAAAAAAAAAAAATCCCGATGCACTGGGTTGAAATACATTATAGGCATCCGAGCCCTGAAATCCCCAGTCGCTCTGATAGACTCGTACCTGAGCCGCCTTTATTAATGGGCAGATTTTAACACATTTCGGTAGAGCGAGAACAACCTGCCAGTTATGGTTAGATAAAGTGACTGAGGCTCATGAGAAACTTTTCAACTATTTAAAAACCTCTCAAAATGTTTATTTTTAGGAGAAAGGGAATTCTCTTGTAGGCCAGCTATCAATGACACGTAAAAAATCCTCAGGAAACCAAGAGCACACTTCCAATTTAATGTGAGCTCGGATGACACCGCCTTCTTAGAAATTAGCATTCTCTCTCCTAAGATTTCTAAAACAGCCAACAAAAAAAAAAAATCCTGCATTTAGGCTGCAATCTCTTTCTTCTGCTCGGAGGTGTACAATATTCCCAGAAACAAGAGACAGACAGAACTATCAACTCTGCTTTGTCTCTGCAAAATGTTACAGGACAATCCGCGCCCTGAGCCTGACCTGCAGATGGCTTTAAAAAAAAAAAAAAAAAAAAAAAATATTCCCCATTCCAACTAACTGCAACCGAAGCCTCTTCCTCACCATCACCAAGAAAAAACAATATATATATATATATATATTTTAAATCACAATTTCAGGGGCTTGACTGAACTAACCATTTCGAGTCTCATCTGCGGCACCACAGAACTGCAACTATTTATACAAAGCCAGCAAAGTATTACAATGAACACAAGGCCTGGGCGTTCGAGAGCTCGGTTTTAGAGGCTGAAATTGTAATTAAACTGCGAAGAGAAATGGACGCCAAGATTGGTCTTGACACTAATTACCAGAAAGAAAGACATTTATGCAAATTTACCAGAAGCCTGAACTTCAGCAGTACTGAAACGGAGGAGGAAGAAAGGGGGGGAAAGAGAGAGAGAAAGAGAGAGAGAGACAAAAATTACCTTCTCTAATTCCAACAGATGAAACCTTAATACTTGTATGGCTTGAATCATCTGCAAAGATACAAACAACACGAGGATTAATCTCATTCCTGGATTTGGGGATATTTCCCACAGCCGCCCCGGTCGCACTTTGTAGCTTGACTTTTCTCTAGTAGTAAATAAAAAGTTGTTTTGATTTATGGCAATAACACTAAAACTTAATAGCGGTGGCTTTGTGTGCTGTTTAACGAGAAGCGATCTAGAGTTAACAAAAAAAAAAAAAGATCCCTATTGCAATGAAGCAACTGAATTATACGGATCATAAACATTTCTTAAAAAAAAAAAAAAAAAAACAACAAAAACTCAACTCTCTAAACACCATCTCTGGCTCCTCGCTTTGCGAAAGTGGGAGCAGGACTCCTACAGTGGAGGCAAAATATTTATCCTTAAGGAGGGGAGGAAAGAAAGAGAGAAAAGATCTCATTTTTGGTGAATTTGCCACCGGTGCATGTCCAGCCAAAGCAATCCTCTACGTTTCCCCTCCCATGGAGCTGCTAAAAGGTGCGTGGAGGGGGTGGCTACAGCGGGGATAAATCCACGCTCCTCTTGGGCAGGCAAGCTCACCATCAAGCCCGTCAGCTCCCCTTTGGATGGGGCTTTCCTTTATATCCTTATGGGATTTTTTACTTCCCGGCAACTATCACACCGTATTTACTTGTAAATATAAAAATCATCATCATAATAATCATAATTCTAAAAAATTCACGTGAGAAATTTTCAATTTAGCACCACCAAACCACCTCTCCAGATGATACAGAAGTTTAAAAAAAAATAATAAATAAATGGGAAGGGAGGGTGGGGGTGGGGAGAGGAAGATGTGTTAACTCTTACCAAGTTATCCAGTTCAGGATTAGAGGAAAAGAGGGGTTTCTCTGCTCGGATCTAAATATAAGAAAGGGGAGGAGAGGGGGAAAAAAAATAATAATAAAAAAGATTTGAAATATGGAAGCAGAAAAAGCAGACGTTATTATTTCTTGCTTCATTACACTGTCGGGTCCATTATGTAACCTTCCGTGCAAAGCCCTGACTGCTGGATTTAGTACATCAGCCAAACACTTGAGCAAGTGAATCAAATATACCGAAAAATACCTACGGAGCTTCCCCGGCAGAGCCCGTCCCGGCTCCTGGGAGCCGCGCAGCGAAACTCCCGGCCGGGCACCGACCGCTCCGCATTACCCAGTATTTTAAGGGGCTGGTAAATGCCGAGATTTCCCGATTAGGGTTTCTTTGCGTGTTTTGCTTTGGTTGGGGTTTTGAAGTGGTTTTTGTTTTGGGGGTTTTTTTTGCCTCTTGCAGTAAGAGAGGGGGGAGGGGGAAACGCGCATCTTTATCTCAACAGAGACTTGTTTTTCTAGTTAAGGAATATTTTTCCCCTCTTTTTCCTTTTTTTTTTTTTCTTTTACTGTTTCAACCCGGTTTTGCTGACCTGTTTGGCGAACACTGCTATGTCTTCATTGAAAGACTCAGAGGAGCAAACATCGCCTCCCGCTACCCCGGGCTCCCTGGGTGTGCATGTAGCTAATTCACATTTCTCAAAAATCAGTGCTAAAAGAGGGAACAGGGGGTGTCTGAAAGAAAATACAATAGTCACACACACAGAGGGGGGGAAAATATCATAACGAAACAAAAAAAAAAAAAAAAAAAAAAAAAAAAAAAAAAAAAAAAAAAAAAAAAAAAAAAAAAAAAAAAAAAAAAAAAAGCCAAACACAACAATAGTTAGTCCCGCAGCAGCGTGAGTGGGGAGGGGGGCACCCACAGAGGGGGCTCCGGCACCTCCCGCCGCCTCCCGTAGCGTCCCGGCCCCTTCCCGCAGCCGGCCGGCCAGCAGCCCGGCATCTCCCCGGCCTTTCGGCGCTGTCTGGCCGCAGATATTGTTAATACAACCTTAGGACAAGCCAAGAATAAAACCCAAGCCGGTTCCAGCAGCCATTTTGAATTAACTTTCCTTGTCTTTAGGGGAAAAAAAAATTTAAACAAATTAAAATCCCCTGGACACACACTTTTCTTGCCTTTCATGCTTTTTAATTCCCGTTTTCTGCTGGAGGACTTGCTGGGAGCGAAAAGGGAAAGGGGAAAAAAAAAAAAGAAAACAACTAACAAACCAACAGAAAAACAGAAACAACCCCCATCCAAATTAAAAAAAAAAAAAAAAAAGAAAAAGCCTCTAAACCCACTCAACACAGCTACGACCCACTGGCAGACGCTGGCCAGCCCGGCTGCCTCCCCATTGCCTGCCCGGCCCTCTGCCCCCCCCCGGGGCTCCGCAGCCGCCGACCCGCGGGGGGAACCAGGTGCTCCTGGGCAATCCCAGCTTGGAAAGCCTTCCCGGGAGAAAGGCAGCGTGTGCATCTGGTTCCCTCGCCCGTTTAATAATTTAAATAAATAAATAAGCGTGGGCGCACACACACGTATATATGTATATTTATAACAGGGAGTTCTCTTTTTTTTTTTTTCCCCTCCCAGGGCTTCATACTTTTTTTTTTTTTTTTGGGTACCGTTCACAGCTGAGTTTTAGCCAAGCCTTCAGATTTCTGATAATCCAATAAAGAAACCGAATGCCACGAATTTTATTTTCCTCCCCCTTCTCCTCACTGTCCTGAGAGCGATTTTTAGAGGCTCTTAAACTTCCCTTCAAACTCCAGCTGGGCAGATACATTTTAAAAGCATCTGCGCCCAATGTAACCCCATCAGTTCCCATCGCAACGGCCTAGAAACCGCTTTACAAGTTGCCACACTGAGAAAGATTCAATGCTCTCGGGTAAAAAGTTTAAAAGAAATAAAAATTAAAAGAAAAATTAAAAGAAAAAAAAAAAAAACTGGGAGAAGCTGCTCTCGAGTTCTTTCCTTCACGGCGCAAGGAAAGATGAACAAGGTGGAAAGTTGGGCAAAGCGCTCCAAACTCTCCCTTGCTCCCAAAACTCCGTGCAGAGACTGACCAACCCGGAGCAGGTTGTGCCCTGGGAATATTATTTTCCTCCTCCTCCTCCCCGTGGCGATGCCTGCCGCCCCCCTTCTTTCCCGGGCTCCCCGTACCAGGGGGCACCCCCTCCACCAGCCCTCTCTCCCCACCCTTTAAAGCCGACAGTAAAACAACGACACAAAATCAAGAACACGGCCCTTCACCGCGCAGCGCTGCCCATCCCTCCCTCTCCCCACCCCCGCCACCCCCCGCGCTCCATCCCGCGCAGGTTGCGCGGAGCCCGGCGCGGCCCAACCTACCCGTAGATGGCATCTTTATCTCTCTTGAGGGCGTCGTTGACGGAGGCGCCCATGGCGGGGGGCATGGCGTTGGCGTGGGCGGCGTGCGGGTACTGGTGCGAGTGGAGCGGCGGCCCGTGGTTGAGGTGGTGCACGGGCTGCATGGGGCGGGCGCCGTGGGGGTCCCCGTACATGGTGGTGGGGATGCCCACCCCCTCCATGCCGCCGTAGTGGGGCAGCTCGTCGTACTGCGGGGCACAGAGGGAGAGGGAGAGGAGAGAGAGAGAGCAGAGAGGCGTCAGGGGTGTGAGGAGCGGGGCAGTGCCCCCCGGCAGCAGCTTCGCTGCGCTGTGTGCCCCCCCCCCCACCTCCACCACCACCGCCACCACCACCCGGGGACGCGCCGCGATCCCCCCGGAGCTCGCTCGGGATCCACCGCGCCGGCCCTGGGGAGGGAAACACCGCCCCGGGCCGGGCCGCTCCGGCCCGAAACCCTCCGAGTCTGGGGCGCAGGAGAAATAATTATCATAGTAACAACAATAAAATAAATAAAAGTGCAAAAAAAAAACCCCACC